ATGCAACGGTCAACAATCCAACTGTGGAGTACTGGCCACCAAAGTCAATTCGGGGTTCGAATGGATTGCCAATCTATCTGCCGTTCCTCGTCGACACGTTGAATGCTAACCTGTTCCCGATCGCCTTCACTCTCCCGGATGGTAAGGTATTCATGGCTGCCAATCAGGACGCGATGATCTACGACTGGAAAGCCAACACAGAACAAAGGCTCCCACGAATACCCAACGGAGTCCGTGTCACGTATCCAATGGCGGGTGTCGGGCTTCTCCTCCCGCTATGTCCTGGAAACTACACGCCGGAGATTCTCATATGTGGCGGCTCTGCCATCGATGACACCACCCCTGGCTATGAAATATCGTCACAGGATCCTGCGTCCAACCAGTGTTCGAGGATTACACTGACCGAGGCCGGAATCGCTGCCGGATGGGAAGTAGAGCGGCTTCCGGAACCAAGACATATGCCTGATGCTGTTTTACTTCCAACTGGGCAAGTCTTTATCGTCAATGGGGCCAAGTCGGGCATTTCTGGCTATGGCAACGTCAAAGGCCAGGTCGGGGTGTCAAATGCGGATAACCCAAATCTCACACCTATTTTGTATACACCCGACGCACCTCCTGGACAACGATTCTCCGCCGTGGGTATGAAATCAAGTTTGATACCCCGTATGTATCACTCGGTAGCGACCTTGACACCTGCTGGCGATATCCTGGTTGCTGGAAGCAATCCCAATCTGGACAGGAGTGAAGTGAAATATGGAACGGAATATAGATTGGAACGATTTCAACCACCTTATATGAACGCTGAGCGACCGGTCATTGCCCGGCTCCCCCACAATGTCTACTATGCACAACCGTTCAAGATGGATGTCAACATACCTTCCGGGATGAACGCTACGGAACCAACGATCCGGGGTGAATCCTCTTTCATTTCCATTGGAAGCCATCGGCTAATCTGTCCTATCAAGTCGCATTGATGGATTTAGGCTTTGTCACGCATGCAGTACACGCGAATTCCAGGCTTGTATATTTGACGGTTTCCTCATTCCATAACGGAGAGAACATGATCCTCGCCGGGCCACCAGATGGCAACATCTACCCGCCAGGCCCTGGATGGATCTTCCTCGTCGTCAACGGAATCCCAAGTCAAGGGAAGATGGTCATGGTTGGGGATGGGCAAGATCCACCTGTGGACGAGTCCGCCTGGGAAAAGTATGTGTGTGTATGGTGACTGCGTGCGACATTTTCTAACTTGTGCAGCATGTTGAAGCAGACTGTCGTTGACCAGTACGAGGAGTCTAAGAAGAAAGCTCACGAGACGGTCGAATTTGAGTAGGAACCACCACGCAACTTGAGTCACTTGCTCAGCCCTCCGCTGGCTTCCCGTTAATATTGTCGTTCCAATCTGCACCGTGTATCCGCTGTTATTGTTCCCACTGTTCGTTTTTCTTGGTAGTCAACTCGTCGATAATGTAATACTGAGGCTCAGAAGATACACAATCTAACAACTGAGATCATAGAGCCCGCTGTTTCATCCGACTGCTCACGGTCCTCAATCCGGCGTAGACCTTTCCTGGGGGTGAGCCAAGGATAAGGGATACAATTGCATCTCGCGCAATTTTGATGTTTTGGAATGATCCCATGATATGAATTTTTCTAGTCAATCAGATCAAAAAATGGAGAAAGAACGCAATGAATATTCGACAAACGTGTCTGCAAGAACGATTCGCGTTCGGCTCGTATTTTCGATCGTGAATTTCGTCTTTCCGTCTTGCCCTGCTATCCGACCTGGGAGGGCGATGAATAATGGCTGAGAGGACGGACAGCTACATACCAATGGCACGTGATAAGTGATCGCCGTGCAGCGTTTTCACATCTTTGATTTCAAAAGAGTCAAGGTAAAGATCGTCCAGACGAAGAAGTGCGATGGCATCCTTTCGACGTCGACTGTTAGGTGACAGTCAGACATAGTTCACATTACTTACATTAACATCAAAACCCAACGCATATGCTTTGACGAAATCGGCTCCTTTTTGAATCGAGCCAATGTCTTTTGTGTGTCTTGACGTCTATATGCGATGTTAGGTGTGCCGATTGAGGACTGGCGAATGCATACCCGAATTTCGACGCATCTCCGTTGAACGTTCATTCGAACTTGCAGGCCAAGAATCTCTGTGAGGGGCGAGAATATGTTCACCCAATCTTTTTTAATTGGTGTCATGCGGTGCGGTGGTATAGGGATCCGTCGGCTCTCCGATTTGAGTGAGGTCGACTGTGCAGCAGCTGAGAGGGCGGGAAATGATGGTACTGATTGGGGTTGAGGCGCAGACTCGGGGTCGACATCTATTGTGAGTTCGTCGTCCTCCTGCGTGTCCTTGGTTGATTGTGTAGATCCTGCGATGATGAGGGGCTCCAGCTGCATGTCCTCGTCTTCGTCCACATTGCTTTGTTTCACTGAGCTTGCTTTCGAGTTGCCATTAATGACTGTTTTCCTTTTTGCAAGGCTCCTCCGGGTTTTCTTGTGTGCGTTGGGTAGGGTAACAACATGGATAACGACCATGATGGCGGAAGTGAACAGTATAATATTGGCTGACTACGCCAGGAAGATATTAGATAACGCTGGAAGTACCTCACGTAATCCGTAAATTCACTAACACCGAGTCCACGACATCTCTTGCCATGTCCAACACAACTGGGAACACCCAAGACCTCGATACCAGCAGAAGAGAAGGTAAGGGATCCATACCAACGTGTTCATTACCTTTCCTAGAATCCTCTCCAGCTTTGCAGGGCTTGCTCAGCTCCCTGGGGCATGTCAACGACAACCCATCACCAGACGCTAGATTATCAGCAGAACAACTGCGGACGTTGTCGGAAAAGATCAACGAGATCTTGGGAGATGGTGCAGATCCTGGTCCAACGCAAGGAAACCAGCCTAGTCAGGTACATGTGCCTTGGAAATGTAATTTACTCGATTGCCGACCCACAAATGCAGCTCCTGAACGGAGATGGCCTTCCCATCATCGACATTTCCGAACCAGTCAATGAAGATCCTCAAATCAGCTCTTCACCCTCACCCACTCTAGAACAGGAGTTGATTCCGTTCTCTCTTTTACCACCTGACGAAAGGGAACGGCGGCGGCGTGAACGCAACCGTATCCTTGATTTGCTCGAGGAGGAGGAACGTTTGAAGCATCTACAAGAAGAGAGGGATGCCGAGGAGGAACGGAAGGAAGCGATTAGAAAACGGAAAGAGTCAGCGAAGGCTGAACTAGAGCAGCTAAAGACGGCCCGAGAGTTGCAGAAGAAGATGGGACAGGCCCTCGTCCGCCATGCCAAAGGAACGGGGGAGAATAAACAAGACGGGGACGCGCCCACGCCCTTAAAGCCTCAGGTCACATCTCCGGTTGCAAAGAAAACTGTGTCCTTTGCAGATGCGCCAGCTATGGAAGCCGACGAAAGGAGTCAGCAGGCGTCAATACGCCAGCCTGACTGGGGTGATGTTACTCCCGGTAGATTACGTGCACAAAACCGCATACCTCTGGTGAGTACAGCCGAGGCACAGAAATACCCCGTGAAAATGCATGTAGTGGAGCGTCGTCCCACGGCAACTCCTCCTTCTCCCTTTCACAACGATGCAGACTCAGATGATGAGTCTCCCTCAGCCGGGTATCTTTCTCCACAAACGGAACATGATTCTTCAGACGGGGGGGACAGGCCCTCGTCAAGTGACGACGACTTGTCAGATGATGAACCGTTAGAGGACGGATTCGATTACGATGCTGCACAACATCACCGCGAAATTGCTCTGGAATATCACAAGAAAAGACACGCCATTGGCGCTGAGACTGCGAGGGCAATGGCTGAGCATACTCTTTATGACTACGAAGAACACGAAACTGTGAGTCACGCGAGTTGCCGTGCATTCACTGAAATTAACAAGGATCTGAGCTCCAGTCGAACGGACAGTTGCCATTGTCACGTTTCCGGGCGGACCGCATGGGGGTAGCGTACGACAAGTCGCATGGTCCCGTTTCTTCATCGATAGGACAAACTGTCATCCCAGCCTCCCGTCAAAAGTCCCTTCGAAATTCCGTGAGGCTAGGCAAGTTGGAAAATGATCAACTGATGGGGGGAGATTTCGGAGAGAGTGGGAGCGAGGATGAGACCATCAGGGAAGTAATCCAGATGTTGCAAACGGGTCGCATTCAAAACGCTGGTCCCGATTTCAAGCTTTCTTCAATGTCTACCATCGCTCCTCACCAAAATTCTGATACTGTGGAATCACCAACAGTATCGACGTCAACTGCTGCACATGAAGCAAAGCCATCAAGATTCAAATTGGCTCGTGGAGGAGGGATCACAGAAAGGACCACTTTCCAGGACAATAACAGCAGGGACAACGTCCGGTCGCAGCCAACCATCTCGAGCGTTGTCGAGCGGAAAGCTCCAAGATCGTCTCCTGGCAAACCTTTCCCTATAAACAAACCTCCACCACGATCACCGGTTAAAGTTTCTGGACAGGCACCCCCCATGATCATTGACTCCCCATCATTCCCTATGGCAGCCAGTACTTCCACTATGGTCATCCCATCATCCTCCCCTGCTGGCCCATGACAACTGGTTCTCCGTCATCCCATTAAAAGCAGCTTAAGCGCCCGTCATTGCGATTTGCAATGGAAGATTCGATGATCCGGTCTCGTGAAGACCTATCTCAAAAATTATGGCTGAAAGAGAAAGGATAATCGACTGAGACTTCTGCTTACCACGTTGTTGTTACAGTACTCACGATACTTTGGGCGTGAATATATTCTGTTCCGAGCTCAAAAACTCGTCTAACGCTCCGAACCCTTCACCGTCAGCACCTTCTTTCCAGCAGCCGGCGTAGTTCAGCATCCTGCTGTACAGGTTTTTAACTCGGCAAGATGCTCAAGGGATTCAAATCCCTTGATCATAAATATTGTATTTGCCATGCCCTCCGTTGGTTGCCAGCACCAAAAAAGTGGACAAATCCGGACTCGAACCGGAGACCCCCCGCAGCTCAGCACCAATGCTAAGCGGATGTGATAACCAGCTACACCATATGCCCGATGCGTGGCTCGGCAAATTGTGTGACTTATAAATCATAAACATTGCTTGAAGTTGATTCGCCATGATCTTGTTCAGCGTTGTTTTTCGTGTTCTTGTCGCCCTCTTCACTCAAAGTTATTTCCAACCCGACGAATACTTTCAAGCACTAGAGCCTGCGCACAAATACGTTTTCGGTTATGGTCACCTCACCTGGGAATGGGTGAATCCCGAGCCTTTGAGGAGCATGCTATACCCCGCACTCAACGTTCCAGTGTACTGGCTACTGAAAGTATCGGGATTGGACGTATACCCGTCGTTGGTGGTATGTTTCAGCACGTTCTCAGCCGACGTATCTAATACCAATAGGTCTACGCACCAAGAGTACTTCACGGTGTGCTCGCCGCTCTAACAGACGTCTGGGTACCGAAGCTGGCCAGCGTAGTCCTCGACCACGCGTCTAGCGAGGGAATCGCTGACCGCGTAGTTGTATCAGTACGTGATCATATTCGTGTCCTGGAATCTTTCAGTCATCTGGATTTATAGTACTTCCTTTCCATAACCTCTTTCTTTCATTCACTGTCCTTGTCGAGATCTTTGTCTAATTCACTGGAGGTATCCCTCACAACTGTAGCCTTGGGATATTTCCCGTGGGATGCCCTAGTTGGGTCTGCCTTGCATAACTCGTGCGTTCTGCTGCACGACTTATCTACGCATGCATCTTACGAATCTTTGAAGGTCTAAGCTGAGATGGAGCACCTTATTGGCGGCGATTGCGTGTGCCATCCGGCCAACCAACGCTATCATCTGGATATACATGTTCTCTATGCTCTTTTGGCGCGTCAGAAAAAATACAAAACTCCTAGTATCTATCCTGCGGGATGCAGTATGCATTGGGTCTGTACTATTGGTCTTCCTTCCTCGCAAACCGTCTTTTGATGTTTCTCCAAGTTCGACAGTTATTCTGACCGTTTTTACGTTGGATACGTGGTTTTACGGCCAACCAACGTTGACTTTGATGAATTTCCTGCTCGTGAATGCGTCGGAAGTCTCATCGTTCTATGGATCGAGCCCCTGGCACTATTACCTCTTGCAGGCCCTCCCCATTCTATGTGTGTCGGCATTGCCGTTCGTTCTTCACGGTCTATGGCTCGCATTCGCGAAGCATGGATCCAAGTTGCATATCATGGCGGGGTGCATTGGATGGACTGTATCTGTCTATTCGTTCATTGGACACAAGGAATGGCGGTTTTTGCACCCGCTACTGCCCATGATGCATATTTTGGCTGCCGAGTCCATTGTTCAGCTAATACAGGGCCAGGAAGCTAGGCGTGCACAGCCTATCTCGCGATCCCCAGCTACCTGGAGTAGACTCCAATTCGTCATCCCACTGATTTTGGTACTATCAATCCCAGCTTCTATTTATGTCGTGTTCTTCCACTGCACAGGTCAGATCGAGGTCATATCATTCTTGAGGCAACTTCCCGTTGATAACTCCACGACAATCGGCTTCCTAATGCCATGCCATTCCACACCATGGCAAGCGTATCTTCATCGCCCAGACCTTGCTCACCCTGGAAAGATGTGGGCGTTAGGATGCGAACCACCTTTAGGGTATGCGGGATGTTTGATTAATTGTGCATGATAATGCTGAGTGGATGATCCAGGCTTCGAAATCCCACAGAATACAGAGATCAGACCGACATTTTTTTCGAGTCCCCAGTTTCATACATAAAATCTCACTTCCCGGTTCATGTCGATCCTACATTTCCCTTGTCCACTTTCGCCTGCTCAGTTCCAAACGCAACCTTTATACAAGCATTGAAAGCAATAGAGACCCGGTCAGGCTCGTGGGATCTAGGGTGGCGGCACGAGTGGCCGAGGTACATAGTTTTCTTTGGTGCTCTGTTGGAAGAGCCTGGAATACGGACTTTGTTCAGAGGCAACGGGTACCTGGAGGTATGGAAGGGCGGGTGGCAGTGGGAGGGAGAGGGGAAGAGGAAGGGGGGTGTGAGGGTTTGGGCCTACGGAGGCACTGTGGGCAACATCGTGAATTGACCTTAATTGATAGTCCTTCCCAGAGTTGATACCAACATAGCGTTCGACTAGCTGCTCATTTCAATCGCAGCAATCTTTACCAGTCGAAGTCAAGAGTAACATTCGGTTGAAAATTGGTAACTAAACATAGTCACATCGTCAACGAAAATGCAGATATGTGACTTGATAGCACCTCCGCTCTCTATGGCTTGGCAGGCTCCAACCTCACTTATTCTGACGTCGGGTGAGCTAGATTGGGGGTTAGTGCATACAGGCCGATACGGACATCGATCAACCACGTACTCTGCGACGCTTCTTTAACCTGGAATACAAATTTAGAAAACGAAAACTAGCGAGCGAAAGGCACATACTTGTGTTTCTTCATCTTCTTTCGCTTCTTTCGGCGTGTACTGTCAGCGTGGATGGTAACCCATTCCTGCGCCGATTCTTTAGCCAAAGTCATGTCGTTCTCCGAGTACTTGGCACCGAGTCCAAGACGAGACAAGGCGCGCTGCCATGCAATAGCACCTCCGACGCGATTCATGACCAACGCGTGGGCTAGTTGGCGAGCGGCATCCGCATCCGCGTCAGGGGACGATTCCGGGGGATTATCAATAGTGGCGAATGAGGAGTCATTGATGACTTGATCCTCGGAAGAAGTGAAGAGCGGGGTGGAAGAATCGGTTGCTTCGAAAATGGCAGACGTCGGCTGGTCTAGGAGGAGTAAGGGTCGGTGCAACGAGAAAAACTGATGAAGTTTGTATTCCTTGGAAGAGACGGTGGGATGGATTGGGTCACGGTCGAGAGACGAGAAGGGGTGGGTGAATGGCGGTGAGACACATGATGAAAGAGGGAGGGCGGTGTGCGACTGTGGACGAGTTTCAGCTGGCTTGCTGGACAATTTCTCCTCAGCAGGTGCAGCTTTTACCACCCCGCTTGCATTTGTGGGTGGACTGGTGGCAGCGGATTCTGGAGGAGCGCCAGTAGTCGTGGTGTTGTCTACCTTTGCTCGGCCGGGTTGCAAGACTGGCTTTGGTGATTTAGCGGAGACAAAGTGTCTTCCACCTCCCGGCTTCGACGAGAAGAAGGAAGAGTAAGCTCTGCCTACTGGATGAGCAGGGTGAGCTAGACGAGGGAGGAGCGACATGCAACTTGCAAGTGCTGTAACAAAATTGCCAACCAGCCAAATCCGGTACGACGACAGCAAGCCACCTGCCACAATGAATCACTACAGCAGGACCACAACGATTGCCTATATAGCCAACGCTCCCTGCACCATGTCATCTATTCATGTCTTACTCTCCTTTGCGCAGCCAGTCCAATCACACAGCGTTCGTCACCTTGACCAACGGTCGACTAATACGCGGTTCACTCGACATACTCCCATCCATGCCTCTTGACATTCTTTGCGAGGTAAGAATCTCCCGTTATCATACTCAATACTTGGTCACCATCGCACTTCAGATATTTTGTTTATTGCACCCAGCTGATCTTCTCATCCTCGCTCGCACTTCCAAGGCGTTTCGTCGTTTCCTTCTCAAAAGGTCGACTGCGTTTATCTGGAAGTCTGCTCGGCGAAACGTGGATGGTCTGCCGGAGGCACCCGCAGACATGAGTGAAGTTCAGTATGCTTCACTAGTCTTTGGATTCGCATGTCATTACCAGGTACACTAAATTTACACATAACTCTCCGTCATGCTAAGTCGTACACCCCAGGGATGTGATAGGAAAGCGCGTGATACAGTGTGGCACCTGCGTATTCGCTCGTGTGCGAACTGTCGGCCAAAACACCAGTAAGTCCATCGGGTTGACTACACACGTAAATTAACGACATGCCAGGCCAATCAAACTAAACGAGAGTAACGATTACCTTGCTATTTGTGCGACGCTCGCCTGCTATCCCGAGACTCTTGAGCAGTACATACCTTGTGGACCTTTTCTCAATTCCAAAGGCAGGTTACTCGTTTGCTCATACCTCCTGGGGGAACTCAGATTATGTAGGGAACTCTGCCAAAGGCTTCCAGGAGCACCACATCAAGAAATTCGCGGATGAGCTGAGCGCATTATCCCTCTCAGAGCGTCAAGCCTACCTCGATCGTCGTACGCAGGCTACTGAAGTAATTAGTCAAGTGAGTGTTTGAATCGCAATTGCGGCAGAGCTACCCCTCATCGATGTACAGTTTGCAAGTGCAGGTGTTGCGTGGCAGCTCAGGGCGAAAAACGTGCGTATCGCGGAACTGCGCAATAAACGCGCGGCACGGGCTAAAACGTTTGTCTAATATGTCAATGTGCGAATTCAGCTGATAGGCTTGATCAGTATCCACGAGAGTCTTGTCGCAACCGGCTTTAAAGAAGAAATTGATCATTTTGGGTGGGACCGTATCCGCAAGCATCCTCTTATCAATAGCACTCAGGCAATGACAGACAAAGGTACATAACATATCCTGCCTCTGGCCAACAAGTTGCATTGACCTCGCACCAAGCATGCTCCAGCGTTCTGGACCAACTTAGAGAGTACATGTTGGGTTGGCGGGAACTTCGGATGGAAGAGCAAGTGTACGCCTTTCGACGCCGGGTTTTTGTCGATGCTTGGCTGCGGTTCACAACAAACATCTTTCACAACGCCCCGAGTGGTTGCCCCTACCTCCCACTGCCACCGAATGCTACTATCGGTTTCTCTGAAAGCATCGATTCTGTAATACGGCAAGCTAGTCCAATATCGCACGAGTCTCTCCTCGAACAACTTCAAGCTGCCTCCGTGCCGGCTTGTGAATACGTCCTCGATTGGCATAGAACAATACGTCGAGAGCTTGCCAGCTTGCTTCCAGGTCACAAAGCCGAATCTAATGACGAATCTGTTCATGCTCAACTCAAGCTTGCTACATCCGTTTTCCAATGTACTGATCGCAATTGTCGAGGTGGAGGGCGCACCTTGGCGTATCCCGAGATTCTATCCCATCCGTGTTTCACACGCGTGACACAGGG